TAGTCGTAGTAGTAGTAGTAGTAGTAGTAGTAGTAGTAGTAGTAGTAGTAGTGGTAGTAGTAGTAGTAGTAGTAGTAGTAGTAGTAGAAGTAGTAGTCGTGGTAGCAGCAGTAGTAGTAGCAGTAGTAGTAGTAGTAGTAGTAGTAGTAGTAGTAGTTCGTAGTCGTAGTAGTAGTCGTAGTAGTAGTAGTAGTAGTAGTAGTAGTAGTAGTAGTAGTAGTAGTAGTAGTAGTTGTAGTAGTAGTAGTAGTAGTAGTAGTAGTAGTAGTAGTAGTCTTAGTAGTCGTAGTAGCCGCAGTAGTTGTAGTAGTCGTAGTCGTAGTCGTCGTAGTCGTCGTCGTTGTCGTCGTCGTCGTAAGTAGTCGTAGTAGTCGTAGTAGTCGTAGTAGTTCGTAGTAGTCGTAGTAGTAGTAGTAGTAGTAGTAGTAGTAGTAGTAGTAGTAGTAGTAGTAGTAAGTAGTAAATAGTAGTAGTCGTCGTCGTAGTAAGTCGGAGTAGTCGTAGTAGTAGTAGTAGTAGTAGTTAGTTACTAGTAGGAGTTGTAGTAGTCGTAGTAGTAGTATAGTAGTAGTAGTAAGTAGTAGTAGTAGTAGTGTAGTAGCAGTAGCAGTAGCAGTTAGCAGTAGCAGTAGGCAGTAGTAGTAGTAGTAGCAGTAGTAGTAGTAGTAGCAGTAGTAGTAGTAGTAGCAGTAGTAGTAGTAGTAGCAGTAGCAGTACCAGTAGCAGTAGCAGTAGCAGTAGCAGTATCAAGCAGTAGCAGTAGCAAGCAGTAGCAGTAGCAGTAGCAGTGGCAGTAGCAGTAGCAGTAGCAGTAGCAAGCAGTAGCAGTAGCAGTAACAGTAGCAGTAGCAGTAGCAGTAGCAGTAGCAAGCAGTAGCAGTAGCAGTAGCAGTAGCAGTAGCAGTAGCAGTAGCAGTAGCAGTAGCAGTAGCAGTAGCAGTAGCAGTAGCAGTAGCAGTAGCAGTAGCAGTAACAGTAGCAGTAGCAGTAGCAGTAGCATTAGCAGTAGCAGTAGCAGTAGCAGTAGCAGTAGCAGTAGCAGTAGCAGTAGCAGTAGCAGTAGTAGTAGTAGTAGTAGTAGTAGTAGTATATAGTAGTCGTAGTAGTAGTAGTAGTAGTAGTCGTAGTAGTAGTAGTAGTAGTAGTAGTCGTAGTCGTAGTCGTAGTCGTAGTAGTAGTAGTAGTATCTGAAAAAGTAGTAGTAGTGATACAGTTCATTAAGGTAGTAGTAGTAGTAGTATAGTTAGGAAGGAGGCGGAAGGAGGAGAGCGGAAAGGAGTAGAGCAAATGGGGGAAAGGAGAGGACAGCGGACAGGAGGAGCAGGAGGAGGAGGAGGAGGAGAAGGAGGAGAAGGAGCAGGAGCAGGAGGAGGAGGAGGAGGAGGAGGAGGAGGAGGAGGAGGATCTGCCTGCAGGCGAGGGATCCTGCCCTTGGCCTTGGGGGCGCCCTTGCGGGATTCCTGTGAGCAGCGGGAGAGGCCCTTGGGCCATCCGACGCGGCGAGCGTGGCTTGGGCAAACCACAACCACACAGCGTGCATACAACACCACCTCCAGCAGCCTCCCTTTGTGGATCCTGTTTCGCCCGTTTCTTCCTTCGCACCCCCGTACGCCACACCTGCCCTGCCGTAGCTGCTCACACCGCCAACTTTGTGAGGGTGCCGCAGACATGCCGCCATGGCGTTGGCCACGGCGGCCCCTTCCAGCAGCACAGGCGGCTGCTCGTTTGCCCCCGCACACCGGCGCTTCTAAGTCTACACTCCGCCTCCTCCTCCACCTCTGAAGAAGGGCACCTCAGACGGGACCCTGGACACTCTCCAGGGCGCTGGCCCGAGGTGGCCAGTTTGACCCGAAGGAGAGAGGGCACGGCACAGCCACAAGAAGACCTGGGCCCCAGGGGCCCCGGCCACCCTTTTTGCATACCGCCACGCCACAGGCTTGCTGCTGTGTTATTGCACTTTAACCGCCAGCACCCCATTCTTATTCCCTTCCGCACACGATGTTATGATCGATGTGATGATCTCTGCTTCCTCCTTCCCCCTCCCTGTCTGTCTACTTTAGTGTGTCGCTCTTCTGTTTTCTTCTACTCCCCCAGGGCTGGCTTTTGGCCGGCCCTGGGGGAAACGGCGGCGCTCGGAGAACACCCATGCCATCAGGAAATCAGGATCCAGGAGGAGGAAGAGAGTGAGAAATGGAGTGGGAGGAGGACGATGTGCCCGATCCTGTGCAAAATAGCGGCGGCGAGGTAACTTCGAATCTCCCGAGGCGCGCGCGGTGACGGTGAAACCCAGAAGGAACATGACGGCATCTGAGGCAAGACAATACGAGGGCAGCGCTCGCCAGCACATGACACACATCTGCCTGGTGACAACCGCTTATCTCCGTCGTTTGCTCGTATCTCTCCCTCTCCCCCATTTCCATTCACTCCTCCTCTTCGTTATATATATATATATATATATATATATATAACATGTTTTTATCTGATGTTTTCTGTTCTTTCTCGGTGTCGACGCGGGCCCGTTTGCACTCGGGGCGTAGAGAGCTATTTTATTTGGCCCGACCTCTCCCTCTCCCTCTCCCACTCGACGCCCCTGGTCCCCAGCCACGGGCGACTTCGAAGCTGATGCCCTCGACCCGCCAGGGCTTGGGGCTTCCCGCAGCGAAGACGACCTCGACTTCCTCTCACTGCGCGACCCCTTTGGCAATGTCAGCACTGCCGAGGACCACCCAGACGAGGCTGCAAACGCTAAGCTGATGGGCCCATTTTCCACCACCACTACCATATGTAGGAAGGTGGAGGAGGAGGAGAGGAGGAGGAGGAGGAGGAGGGGGAGGAGGAGATTAGGGGGATGGAGGAAGAGTAGGAAGGAAAGGAGGAGGTGGAGGATGAGGAGAGGATGAGGAGAAAGGATGAGGATGAGGATAGGATAGGAGGAGGATAGGAGGAGGAGGAGGAGAAGAGGAGAGGAGGAGGTAGGGAGGAGGAAGGGATGAGAGGGAGAGGAGGAGGAGGAGGAGGAGGACCTCCGCATCCTCCCTTCTCCCCCGGCCTACATATGGTAGTGGTGGTGGAAAACGTTCCCATCATAAGCTGCCCAACGCGCAGGAACGGCAAGGCACGTCGGCCACCGATCACTCTCATCTTAACGCGCCCCCCACATTCGTCCGGTTTCGTTTATCGGGATTCGAGTCGGCCCACCAGGGATCCCGAGAGGAGGAGGAGGAGAAGGAGGATGAGAGAGGAGAAGGAGGAGAGGAGGAGGAGAGGAGAGGAGGGGGGAGGGGGGAGGAGGTACAAGCAGGTGCGCTCGCGTCCCCCCCCCGTATCTACATCCTACACCCCTCCCATCCCTTAACCATGGCGCAGAATCCCCTCTCTACACGCACAACGATTTCGACAGAGCAATGAATCCCTACCGGGTACGGTGATGCATTGTAGACACGGGGCGGGCATGGCGTAGAAAGAGCACCGCAAAACGTAGAATCAACTAGCATTGCATTGCAGCCCGTGCATGGCACGGAAATGACGCCAGCGCCTGCAGTGTCACTATCCGAAACGAGCGGAAGCGCGGAAATGAGGCCAGCGCTGCAGCGGGAGCACGATTCGGAACGAGCGGAAGCACGCCGGAATCGGCCCAGGAGGCTTCCCGGGCGCCAGAAGCAGGAATTCAGCATTTTCAAAAGAAACATGTGTATTGGAATGGCCTTTTTTCGGCGCCGCCTCGGAACTCGATTTATCGGCGCCGGCCGGAACTGGCTCCGGACCCGGCCCGAGCGCTGGCCCGGGCTCGGGCTCGGGCGTCCGGCCCGGGCGCCGGCTCGGGCCCCGGCCCGGGCGTCGGAATCGGCGCAGGAGGCCTCCCGGACGCCGGAAGCAGATATCCAGCATTTCCAAAAGAACAGTGTGTCCAATTGGAATGTTTTTTTTTCGGCGCCGCCTCGGAACTCGATTTTCTGGCTCCGGCCGAAACCGGCTCCGAAACCGGCTCCGGACCCGGCCCGGGCGCCGGCCCGGGCGCCGGCTCGAGCGTCCGGCCCAGGCGCCGGCTCGGGCGCCGGCCCGGGCGTCGGAATCGGCCCGGGAGGCCTCCCGGGCGCCGGAAGCAGAAATTCAGCATTTTCAAAAGAAAAAATTGTATTATAATGGCCTTTTTTCGGCGCCGCCTCGGAACTCGATTTTCCGGCGGGGCCGGAAATGGCTCCGGACCCGCTGGCGCGGCCCGAGCGCGGGCCTGGGCGCCGGCTCGGGCGTGCAGCCCGGGCGCCGGCGGAAATCATGCCAGCGGTGCAGCGGGAGCACGATTCGGAACGAGCGGGGCCCGAAAATGAGGCCGGCGCCTCAGCGAGAGCAGCATTTTGAAGCAAAATGCAAGCGAAAACCCAACTCGGGGGAAACCTGTGTGTAAAAAAACAGTACGCGGGGGGGGGGTCGGCTACTCCCATTCCGTCATCAGGGGAAGAGGGAGAGTAGTATTCATATTGAGTAACTGTGGAGGAGGAGGAGGAGGAGGAGGAGGAGGAGGAGGAGGAGGAGGAGGAGGAGGAGGAGGAGGAGGAGGACGAGGAGCAGGAGGAGCCAGGGGTGACGGCCACCACGCCAGCGGTATCGCGCAACGCACGGACCGCAGGCATGTCCTCACGCAGTACCTCACTGCGGCCAGCGGCCGGCAACAAAGGGACCGCGAGTCACCGCCAACATTGAAGCGCTCCACCAGCGAGCCAATCAGCTGGTGATTTATCGCCACCAGATCCAGGAACAATCAACCCCGCTGATC